GGTTTGGTATATAGCCACACACCAACAGATTTCATCCATGAACATTCAGTTGAAATATAAAATAAAAAGCAGGAGATACTAAATTCAACTTTTCTGCACTCCTAGAGACTCCAAGTCCACAACAAAATGTATTTAACAGCTAAAAAAGTGGATTTTGCATGATATGTCCTCTTTAAAACAGCAGCACTCTATATTGGTCCTAGCTTCATTTGGATTAGCTTTTAGCTTGTCAGCGTTATAGGAAATTAAATATTTTTCTCCAGAATGAGGTTGTTCAAAGAGGAATCTGTAACAAGTAAGATAGTGATTGTTCAAAAGATATTTAAATAACCCTTTTTGTATTTCTTGGTTTTTGTGGTGAGATCTACCAGTTCAGATTTAACGGTCGGTTTGCTTTTGAAATGCAGATTAAATGTACATTTTTTGTGCTAATATAAGGTTAAAAGCCAATTCATTAAAATCACATCCATATTTTTGATATAGATTGTTTATGCCACATTAATATTCACTCACAGGGCAGGAATGTTAAAATGTAGCTTCAAGAATATAATAAAGAATTCAGCAAAAATAAAACCTGTTTCTTTGCGCCCCTGAAATGTGGATTTAATTAAACCTTTCCTCAAAGGTGCGCCTCCAATTAGGAGCAATATACAACACACACAGCAGCGTAATGTGGGAACATTACTCACATCTTCCTCCTGTGAGACGGGAGCAGCAATTAAACCTGCAGCAAGTAACCTGCAGTATGTTTTCACGAGCACAGGCTCCTGTCAGAGGAATCATCTTTAATCAGCAGACATTACCAGATAAAGTGAGATAACATTTCTGTTTGTGCGCTCAGAAACCTCTTGCATCCCCACAACCATCTTCTCCGGGGACTCGTTCGGATGCCGCTGCCTGAAATTGTCCTAATTAAGAATGACGTAAGGATTACATAAGATGCAGCAATCCCCAAAAGTAAATGCTGATGTGCGACCCTATATTGAGACTTATGCGACTTTAAAAAAAATGGTTTTGCTGCAGGTTTTCCATTAGTCCTACTTTATATGGGTAAACTCCCAGGATTGCATCACAGCACATTAAATATCACTTATGTTCCTGCAGTTTCACTTCTTCCAGTTTATGCTTTGATGGAGATCAGCATGCTTGATGAGGATATTTTCACACAAATTGTTAACACATTTTCATTTCATTAAGTGTTCATATTGAGGGGAAATGCTGCGTGGGCAATAAAGAGATTAAATCCAGAGTTGTAAATACGTACAAATACTTTGTTACTGTACTTAAGTAGAATTTTTGGTCATCTGTACTTCACTTGAGTAATTATTTTTCAGCGTACTTTTTACTTTTACTCATTACATTTTTTACACAATTATCTATACTTTCTACTCACTGCATTTTTTTAAAAGGTAAGAAGTAGAAAGTCGTTACTCCTGTTTTATTCTGAGTTGTTATTACTTAAAAATTATACTATCCTGATAAATTGTGTCTCCTGGTTAGAGTGAATTTAGTTGCGGTTGGATGAGAAGTATAAATATATATATATATATATCATTCTGACACCCTATTAGCTTGTACACAACCCATCACAGCTGTATGTCGTTAGAAAAAATATTTTTTGGAGAAGTCACCTCCCAACAAAGGCCATTTTGGAAAATCGAACTGCTCACTTTTACTCAGTACTTTTCTTTTTTTCATTTTAGTCATTTCATTTCTTTAAAAGCAACAAAATCTATGTAAAAAAAACACAAATCACAAATAAAATGAAAGGCGACAGAAAGAAGAAAAAATCTTATAATATCTGCGCCTTTTTTCTCAAAAAATAAATTTAAACAATAATGATCTTCAAACAAAAACTAACAAAACAAAAAACAACCTCAAATCCTAACTTAGCATCATTTCGTATGCACACACATTATATTATTTCATATTTCTTTAACAAAGTGACCTTAACCATTCTCTTAAACATCGACATTGTTCTTTTATTTTTGACATCACTCTCCAGATTATTCCATAGTCTTATTCCTTGTACCGAAGTACATCGTTCCCTTAAACAAGTTCTAAATCCAGCTTTCACAAACATCTCCAACCATTTCAGATTATAACAACTTTCTCTTTTAACAAAATTCAATTGAATGTTTAAAGGCAATATACCTTTATGAGCCTTATACATAACCTGTAAAACATTATAATCAACCAACTCATGTAACTTCAATAATTTCAACTGATGAAATAATACATTTGATGGGTGACTGTAGTGTTTACCAGCAATAATTCTTACAGCTCTTTTCTGTAAAACAAAAATAGGTTTTATAATTGTTTTGCATGCTTTTCCCCAGACTTGAACACACACTTTTACTTTTAATACTTAAGTAGATTTTGTGTCAGAAATGTACTTTTGATACTTAAGTACAAAAATATCAGATACTTTAAGACTTTTATTCAAGTAATATTTTTTAGAGAAGACTTTAACTTTAACCAGAGTTCTTTTATGAAAAGATACTTGTACTTTTACTCAAGTATCACTTTGAGGTACTTTATACAACACTGATTAAATCATGGTAAAAAAAGGTAAATGGCTTGAACTTATACAGAGCCTTATCAAGTCCACATGGACCCCAAGGTGCTTATCAAATCAAATCAAATCAAAATGCATGTTCTTTTGTTCTTCTGTGTTTTACATGCTAGGAATTTAGCACAAAATTGAATGTCATTAACATACCCAGTTGTCTCTGACTTCTTTTACTAATTTTTTTGTTTGTTTTGTTTTTAAGATGTGGATATCCTGCAGCGTCTTGGGCTTTTTTGGCGAAGGTCAGGCATGTCCACTCAGTCCATTCCTACTGGCGTCATCCCCTTCAAGTCCGGCGTCATCCTCACTCCAAGAGCACGCGTCCAGGCGCCTCTGCGCTCTGTTGTCCCCGCCTCCTTCAACGCCACCAGCTTCTCCGTGACCCTCAGCCTGTCTGTTCATCGCTTCAACAGCGCCTTTCTGTTCTCAGTCCTGTCCAAGAAGAGGAAAGTGCAGCTCGGACTGCAGTTCCTACCAGGAAGCGTACGTCTCCACGTTGGACAGAAAGCCTACGTGAGTTTGGACTACAACGTCTACGATGGCCAGTGGCATCATTTTGCTTTGGATATTGGAGGCCGTCGAGTATCCTTGCACACATCTTGTGGTAAAAAGAGTCTGTATGTGGATTTGTCCTCTAAAAAGGAGGCGGTATTGGATCCAGATGGTTCCTTCCTGCTGGGCAAAATGAACCACAATTCAGTGGCATTTGAAGGTGCCATTTGTCAGTTTGACATTTATCCCTCTGCTAAGGCAGCTCAGAACTATTGTGATTATATTAAGAAACACTGCAGAGAAGCCGACACCTATCGGCCTGTGTTTTCTCCCATGCTACCTCTTTTTTCAGACCCAAATATGACTTTTTCTCACATAAATCCACTACCATTGACAGAGAGACCAAAAGGAGCACAGTTGACTGCTTTGACCAGGACTGCAGTTCTTCCAACTGAGCTCTCGATGCTGAACAACACGTCTGGGTATCCGACTGCAAGCTCTACGAAACCCGGTGCTGTTTCGGTTTCTCCCTCAGTTCATCCAGAACTGGAAAGTCCGTTCAGAGTTTTAACTCGGACTGTTACTGCACCACTTTGGATAAGCACAAGCACACCAAATCCAAAATTACATTTGCACACCAGAAAGTACGCAAAGCAGAGGAACTCTTCAAAATCTTCTGGGAAACAAAGAGCTTCACCTGTTTCCACCAAACCCTCTGAGACGAAAACAAACTTTTGGACCAAGGCTGCCCCCACACAGGGGTCTCCTTCAAACAGCCCCCAGCAAAAGGAGTTTGCCACAGTGGCTCTAAGGAAACCTGAGCCAGAAGTGACCAATGTGCAGGACTTCGAACCAACCACCCCTGCTTCAACAGATGGTTTGCAAACATTTGACCTGGAGCCGACCCAGTTCTCACTCCTTGCCGGACCGACTTGTCTAAAGGGAGAACCAGGACCACCGGTGAGTGAGTCAGCAGTTTAACAAACTCTTCTAAAATCGTATAAATGAGTGCATGTTTGCTTTTTCGTATTGCTGAGGTAAGAACTGGAGCAAGCTTTTTTATCCATTTTCTTTAGTGATTGCTGATAATTCAAATATTGCTGAATTTCATCATTGTCCAGTTGTGTTTTTGAATTGCTCGTACCCTTATTGGTTATACCGTACCTACATGTGATGTGAAACATTCTCAGTCTGTGTCTCATTGGAGCTCATTTAATGTGCGATGTGTTATTTTAGCAGCAGAGTTCACAGCCTTTTCCACTCTGAGTGGAGAGGCTGGCAGTGAGGTGTTAGATTCCTTCGAAGTGATGGTGCGGCTGCTCGGAGAGAGAGAAAAAAAAAGAAGAAAACTTTTAAAGTAGGGTGAAAGGTTAAAGGAATAAAGTGCTTAAACACAATCAACCATTCAGGGGCCAAAACGTCATGAATGCAGCACTTTACTCGTCACCATAAAACACCACAGACGTCTGCACCATATGTGTAAAAATGTGTTTATTGTTTTAATATGTTTTGGATTACTTTAAGATTAGCTTGATTTTGAACCTCCAAGCCCACACTGGTGCTTTAGTGTGTAGTATGAGGGTTTTGCCTGAGGGTACTTAGACATGTAGGCTGGGGTTAAAACATCAGCATTTAACTTGTCTTTGAAGATAAATAACTGATTTTTCTTCAAAGCCATAACAATCCTAAAACACAAATTCAACTCTGAAAATAGCTTCTGCTTAGTTTTAGCTCAGGGTGTTTTCGTACTTTAGGATCACTGTTGTCTCACTCTTAGCTGTCAATTGTTAAGTCAAATAGGTGATGAAAATGCACTGCTTTCTCAACTATCTGTTAAAAAAACAACAGCAAACTAAAACTTGGCATTCTGTTATGTTTTTCTTTGCCAGTAATCACATTTGCAGTATTTTTTTGTCTAGTTTATTTGGTGCAGTCTTTTGGCTTTTGGTTGATGCGTGCGTAGCTGGTGTCCATTGTCTGAATGTCCACAGACTATAAATATGAGAGCTCTGTTAAACTAGTGCAGATGACAAAAATTATGTTGCACATGCCTAATGGTTGAATGGACAGTAAGTAAAACAGGAAATTGCATTAATGTTAGCAGTTTATTAGGCTGACAATAATGTGCAAAATTACACATAGAATTTATGTTAAATATTTGCATCAAGCCATTGTTCTTGAAGTAATAATGGCAGGTAATACTGTTGATGCTGGTCTTTCCAAATGCATGCAATTATTCAAATATGTGAAGTTTCTGTATGTAAATGCAAAATGTTTCTTTTTATGAATATTTTTGCATTTAAATTCCATGACTACCATATTTATTCAAGTATAATACATAAAATTAAATCCATAAAATCATGCATAAAGTTGGGAGGTAGTACTATACTTGGATAAATATTTTTACTTATGTATTTTAACTGAAATATCAGCTTCATTCACAAAATGTCAACGAGCTCACCTCTGATGCTCCGTTTTTCAGAGCGAGATAATAACAAATCCAGGCAGGCGACATGATGTGGAAAAAATGGGGGGAAAGTAGTCCTGCACGTTAGTAATGATAACGAACTAATGACATTAGCGTGTGACCAGGCCGCTCCTCAAACAACAACAAACACATGTTCGTCTGTAATGGCTGCCGTCTACCGGTGTTCTGAAAAAGTTTGTATCCCTGAAAAAACATTTCCCCACCAGAGGGGGCGCTCGCGAGTAGGAAGTAATCTGCTTTCCCCCCAGAAGATGGCCCAAAGCTCATGTGAAGTCTCTGACTTTTGTGTTGGCGCCTCCTGGTGGACTATGTGTAAAATGCCAGAATTCATATGATGCTGCTACAGCTGATATATTTTTGTTTTCAAAATACCTTTTAGTACATATGTTGTTAAAATAAAATGAATGATTATTTTACTGATACTGTATATATAAAGACTGCAAAGGCGGAAAAATCTTGAAGTCTGTATGAAATTTGAGGTAGTTTGAGGATTAAATTTTTTATGCTTTTTAAGCTAAAAAAAAGGGGGGGGGGGTCGTATTATACATGAGATTGTATTAGACATGAATAAATATGGTAGCTGGCTGCACCTGCATCTACTTGCTCTTCAATTCTTACAGAATTTTTTTTGTATGTGAATTTATTTATTTTTTCTTACACACACATACTGTTTCAGCTCTGTGACTACCTCTCATTTTAGCTCAAATCCATCTATCCATCCATCCATCCATCCATCCTTTTAAATCACATCTTACTTTCAGGGCCATTGGGGTCAATAGTGCCCATGTCCAGCAGTCACTGTGCAAGGAGTGGGGTACCTGGAGAGGTTGTAAGTCCTTCACAGGGACACATGGAAACAACCAACCATAGAGTTACAGATTAATGTAACAGTCGTGTTTTTTTTTTGTCTGTGGGAGGAAACCATCGCATGAACAGAGAGAACGTGCCAACTCTACCCAGATCCCAGATCCAGCAACCTTCTTGCTGAGAGGCAACTGAGGCGCCGTGCCTGATGAAATACTTTATCGATTTTATCAAAGACAAGCAGGGATAATGGGATTCTTAGGAACCCTGGGTCTCGCTGTCTGTGTGGTTGTTTTTCAACAAAGGGTTAAAGGAAAACAATAATAGGTTTATCGTATTAGCTTAGCAAGTTCTCCAGAGGGATCAGTCCAATGAACAATCTGTGGAATGTCTTCACCCTGCCTCACAGTGTTCAGGTCTCAAGGGATCTGTTTCTCATGGTTTGCTCCCAGGTACAACAGTAGATCTTCGAAAGGTCCAAAGTTGCCACATGGCTTTTAGGTGGAAAAATGAGATGAGCCAGTTTCTGAATAGTTTGTGTAGTATAGTAATTGCATAAATTCAGTGAGGAAATACAGCTGCCTTTAGCACTTTGGCCCTGACCCAAGCAGTAACTAAAGCTCAGACGACTTATCACATGTGGATCGCCTGATGGCTGAAATCTAAAGAATCTAAAAGTTGCTGCAAAGCTTTTGGCTGGCCTGAGTGAAGGCTGGCTAAAAGAAAATGTAATAATAGAGAGGTGTTCAGTCCAAGCCACATAAAGTGCTCTATACATCTGACATTAATACAGAAGCCCATTTTCGGCAAGACTGCCTGCCTTGAGCTGTTTTTCAGCTCATTTCCCTCTTACTCTCTAAACTTTTCGAGCTGTGGGAAAATAAGATACAATCCCGAGATCTCAAACCGAATCAGGTCCTCAGATTGACCCTTCATTAAAAGTGACCTTTCGGAGCTTTGCTAATCCATGTATGAAATTGTTTTAAAGCGAGCTGATGCTCATATTTAATATGATTGTCTGAGGCTGGAACCAGTGGTGACCTCCCTGCCAGCAGAATAACTCAGATTTAGAGTCCACGCTCTGTTGTAAATTTGAGGCTGAAATAATGTTGGCTGAAGGACAGGCTTATATCGGTTTATAACAAGACACCCTCATGCCTGGCAGCAGCTCAGTGATTGCTTCGAAACATTCAGCTTACTTCCCTAAATGTGACATAGGGGTGGGGGTGGGGGATGTCTCTGAGATTTCTTGATTACCTTCACTGAGGATCATTCTGACAACTGGAAACATGGTCTTTTTTTAAACCGACATTTCTTTAAATAAAATGAAAAAGGCAGTAGTTCTTTTTTTCTTGCTTTTTTGAATTATAGACCTCCTTCACAAAACTAATGATATTTTTAATCCGTTGCTTTCAGGGCCCTCAAGGATTTCCAGGCTTGCCAGGAAAACCAGGCAAAAGGGGCCCCAGGGTAAGTATATCTCACTAACTAGTGACAGGTTTCTCATTCACCTTTGCACACATTATTTTCGCTTTTGTCTTTCTTTCTCAGTTGTCTTTTGCTACATTCTACAATCCCTTTTATCTGAAATGCTTTCAGCAGAAAGAGACAATTTTATTAGTTGAGCACTGATATAGAAACAAATAAAAACACGCCTCTTTAAATTGTGGAGAATTATTCAGCCAGACCTTAGTTTGCGTTGGCTCTGGGTTTGATCAGGCCATGCTTCACTGCTGCCAACGTCAATTTGTAAATCTTTAATGCAAACAACCAGAATCTACAAATCTGTGGGTTGCCAGTGTAAAATGAATTGAACACATAGGGAAGGTAAACTGAGGAAAAATAATGTCACTGCTGCCAGTCTGTATTTACTGGACACATTTCCAGAACAAGTACATGTAAACAAAAACATTGCTGTACTCTAATAAGATACAGGCTGTGTGTTAACATCAATGGGAATTTCTTCTTTCAGGTCCTGTAGTGCCATGTTTTTCCATTTTTTTTAGCTTAATTTAGGTCTCTGACTGATGGAGCCAAACATAAGCAGCTTTAGTGCAGGTGTTGTTTTAAGCAAATGCCTGCAGAATCGAGAAAAGAAAAGAGCTAACACTGGGACATGATCGGTCTCAAGAGGCTCTATTACTGATGCTTGTGTAGCTGCTGCCCTGTAAACCATTTCTTCTTCTTCTCCCTTACATGAAAGTAAATGAAGCAGAAGTTAAGCCTGTTATTTCTGTGGTGGGATGACGCCGGTCCTGATTGCTCTTTTGCGGAGCTGCTTATGATGCACGCCTGCGGGGCATTTGTGCTGCTGAGCCACGTGTCCATTAGCTACCTGCTGCAGCCCTGCAGTTGGGCCTCAGGGGCAGGTTTTGGGAACCCAATCTCTTTAAACATAGAAGAAAGAAGGCTTTGTCCCAATCTTATTAAAGGCATTTAAGGCCCCGCTCAGTAGCTCTCTCAGCTATACACCAACCTCTGTAGAGTTCATTCATCTTCGAGTTTCTGAGACTCCCTGACTCAGAATGTGAGGCTAAAGTTTAGACTTTTTGCTGGGGTTTTTTTTTGTTTGTTTTCAAACCATCAAAAGTTATCTGTTTAGTGCACGAGTGGGACACAATCTTCAGTAAGTTGGCGTGAAATACACTGCCTGGCCAAAAGAAAAGTCGCCACCTGGATTTAACTGACCAAATATGTACGAGCCTCCTATTGGATAATCACTTCATGGGCGATGATCTTTCAACTGCCAACAAGTTATTTAACCCCAACTGGTGCAATGAGTTGATTCTCATTTCTTAAACAACCAAGTCAAAAGACATGTGGTCGTGGAGAACATGTCAGTCTGTTTGAGACTGGCGTGCATCAAGCAGAAACTACTAGAACCATCCAACGCATTATTAAAAACTGGAAGGATAGTGGGACCCATCATCTTGGAGGATGCACCCATCGTAGTGCCTACTGTACAAGCCTGTGGGGGCAGTGCTGTGATCTGGGGTTGCTGCAGTTGGTCAGGTCTAGGAAGCTCATCGAAACAATGCCACAGTGAATGCGTGCCGTAATCAAATCTAAAGGTGGTCCAATGAAATATTAGAGTGTGACCCTTTTTTTTGGCCTGACAGTAGCTGCGTTTCCATTGCAAATGTGCGCAAAACTTTGTCGATATTCTGTTAATGACGAAAAACACAGTTTCGCAACTGCGGGTTTCCATTAAGTAAGAAATGCTATTAAAGTCACAAATGAATATGTTTGTTCTCACGATAAATCATTACAAACATGGCGGCAATGGATGCAAACACATAGCATGTTGCTACCGCGACACTAGCACTCATCATCAGAGGAGACATTGGCGTCTTATCAAGGCTTTCGAGCGACAACCCCCTACTTGGGAGCGGCTACTTATGCTGTGTTTTTGGGAAATTGTAGTCGGTGAGTTTACTATTATATACTACTTCTGTGATATTACTACTATTTGTACTTCCTGTTATCTTCTTCGTCATCGTCTTTTTCGCCAGTAGAAATATCCGGTTGTTGATCACGTGACTCCTGTGATGCGAAAAAAGTGTTTCCATTGCAGTTTTGCGAAAAACACCTATTTCGATACGGCCGAAATACCACCTCAACCTAGCTCAAAAATATTTTGTCGAAGAACGTAATTTTTTTCGAAATTGACGTGTTTTCATTGAGCAAATTTATTTTCGAAATTCTAATTCGCGCATTTTCATGGTCAATGTAAACACAGCTAGTGTAAAAACAACTTTCACCTGATGTCTTATTTACAGTTCACGCTATTTTAACCTGCAACAAAATCTGCCTTTTTTGCACAAGTTTGGGGTCAACATATACAAACGTTACTAGAAAACTGACCGACATACTGTCAACCTGTCGACTGCACACATCTCAACCTCTTTGGATTTTTACTTGGACCTTGACCCTTGAAAATTTAAAATTTTCACAAAAAAATCCGTATTACTCACACATGTATTACCCCATCCCCCATATTACTCGCATGTGAGCAATATGGGTTGGATTGGAACAAGCTGACTGTCAGCCATACGGGGAAAGACAGAACGAAGAGCAGAGCTAACAGCATCTTTCTAGCAGCAGAGCGGGTTGGGAAATGGTTAATGTAAATTTGTTTATTTATTTTTTGTCCTACAGCCTCTGAGATGTAATTTTAATTAGAAGCTGATTTTTGAAATAATCTGTGCTATTTGGAAAAAAAAAATCCCATGAGATTTCTCATTAAGTCCGTTTACCTGCATATTAAGGAAAAATCTGTCATTTACAGACAATCCAAGACTGGATGTCAAGATACAACAATCTTGATTGCTTTTTCACAGTAATGTGGCACAGAAAGAGTGTTTATGTTGAAATGTTAGGTAGCTCAATAGTTCACTTGTAAAATTTAAACAGAAAACATATTTTAAATCCGTCTTCGTACAGCGGGCACACTGAGTAAGCACAAATATACTTTGTTAAATCAATTACCATATTTATTCAAGTATATAATACGTAAAATTAAATCCATAAAATCTTCCATAAAGTTGGGGGTAGTACTATACTCGGATAAATACTTTTACTTATGTATTTTAACTGAAATATCGGCTTCATTCACAAAATGCCTGAGTCCTTAAATGAGACCGCATCATAAAAAGTAGTTGAAACAATCTTACCTCTGACACTCCTCRGTGCTTCAGAGTGAGATAATAACAGATCCAGGTGACATGATGTGGAAAAAAATGGGGGGAAGTATTCCTGCACCTTAGTAATGATAACAAACTAATGACATTAGCGTGTGACCAGGCCGTTGCTGGAACAACAACAAACACATGTTCGTCTGTAATGGCTGCCATCTACCGGTGCTCTGAAAAAGTTTGAATCCCTGAAAAAAAAAATCCCCACCAGAGTAGGTGGGGATTTTTACAGATTTTAACCAGATTTTAACCAGAGTAGCTCGCGAGTAGGAAGTAATCTGCTTTTCCCCCAGAAAATGGCTCAAATCTCATGTGAAGACTCTGACTTTTGTGTTGGCGCCTCCTGGTGGACTATGTGTAAAATGCCAGAATTCATATGATGCTGCTACAGCTGATATATATTTGTTGTCAAAATACTTTTTAGTACATATGTTGTTAAAATAAAATGAACAGTCCAATGATCATTTTACTGATATGTATAAAGACTGCAAAGGCTGAGAAATCTTGAAGTCTGCATGAAATTGGAGGTAGTTTGAGGATTAAATTATTTATGCTTTTTAAGCTCAAAAAGGGGGAGGGGTCGTATTATACACGAGATTGTATTATACACGAATAAATATGGTATTTAGGCATTCAAAGTGTCTCATTGTATATATATCTGCAGTAATTCAGTGTTGGACAGTTACACATCAAAAATTTAAAACACTTTTTAGTTTATAATTCTGTAAAATGAAAAGATTGCTCTTTTATTATACCTGATTAATTTACCCTCATCAACATTTTTTTATGTTGGAAGAGAAACTCTAACATTATTTTTTCTGTAGGAAAAATTGTAGGAAGAAACGGCATCAAACAGCTTTTTCTATTGGAGGGGGGAAAATACACAAAATGGAAACAGTGCAACATTTCCTGAAAGCTGTGGGCATTCTGACTCACTTTAAACTTCACAGCAGCTGGAACCAAGAACGGCCCAGTCTATGTCTCAGCTCTGACGGCGAGGTGTCATGTCTGACCGTTTTTGCTTCGACATGTCGGCAGCTCAAACGTGAGAACGCCTGCGTTCCTCGACCGTAGCCATGAGGCCCTGCGGAGCGCCAGAGTTCAGCCGGCCCTCGGGGGGACGGATTGAGACTGGATCAAAGGGGGCTTTGTGCGAAGAAACTGACCTGTGGGCACGCAGAGGCAGAGTTTCTTCAAAAGTCTTGAAAATGTGAATAATTACCTGAAGAATGATTGACAGGACATGAAACATTTATTAGTGCAGAAAAGGAAACTGATTTGTAGCTCGTAAATTATTGATTCGTCTGATATGTAGGCACAAATTTGCGTTTTTTTTTTTTTTAAATTTGAATAAATCTATGGTTGATGGAGACATTTTTCACGTTATTTGTATTTAGGTCAATGAGGAGCATATTTAAAGTTAAAAAGTGTAAAGCGGCTCTTAACAGCTTTAAGCATAAATCATAGAATATTCCAAATAGATTTGTAACATTTGATTTGATTTATTCCTCGAATATTTGTTCTTTGTAGGTGATACGCATGAAAATGTCTTTTCAGCATGTGCTACATCTGCCCACCAGACATCACAACTTTTCCAAGAAAGGAGATCTTATCCCCACTTGCAAAAACAAAACGATTGTTTGTTTAAAAGAAAAAAGAAAAAAGAAAAGAAGCATGAAACTGAAGCCTTATTGTGATGTGAAACAAATTAAATAGGCTTTTATCAAGGAGAAATGCTAAACGCTCACTGCATGGAGTTTTGAAGAGTAAAAACACATTCTAAATCCTTAGATTGTTCTATTATAAGTTCTATTGTGTTTATATGATAACAATCGTTTCACTAAATGTCATCGTTTGAAAAACTCAGTTTGCAGAAGTAGTTTGTGTGAACCGGGCCGTAGTTTTTATTGAGTTGCGTAATCATTGCACAGATGATGCAGACTTGGTGTCCAGGCAGGGGCGTGAGCACGTCTGCTCTTGGTTAACGGGCTGTAAAAAACAGTAGCGCTCGTGTAAAAGTCTTCAGCCTTCATCGTAAACCTGCTCACAGCTCTGGCACACAGGTGCCCTTCATCTGCAGGCATCAGGTGTATCAGTGTGTGTGTATGTGTTTGTGTTTAATAGTTTGTTGTGTCCTAATGGTTACATGTCGGGAGCTCTTTTCAGTAATTGCTGCAAGCAAAGAGGATCTTTATTCCACCTCTCGCCCACGTGAAGATAGATGGACCAAGTGACTCATTTTCACCACGGTTCTCGTCTCTGCTGGGATATCACCCACCCAGCTTCTCATCAGCTCCTTATCTTTTTTTTGCGCTATAAAAAATGCAATTTGTATCACTCCGTCCTGATCCCACCTTCTTTCCCTGCTTCTCCTCCTCTTGCTTTCTATCTGCAGTTAATGACTTCCATACATTTTAATTTTGAGCAAGTGGAGTGGGGGTGGGGGGGTAGATGGTCTGAGTAAGAAGAAGGACGAGGAAATCTGTAGATGAGCTCCCGTTAAGTGTCTCCACATGTCCAGCAGTGAGTGCCTGTGAGGGGAGAGCTGTGGCCAGTTTGAGAGAACTGCCTCGGCTGTTCGACTCCTTTCCGCAGTTTGATAACAGACAGATGGTGTTCGAATCACCCAGCCATACACTTTCACCTCTGCTCCCTGCTCAGAGTAATTCTATCCCCTCACTTTCACCTCCAGCTCAGAGGGGGGAGCGTCGCTCCTCGCTGCCCATGGAAACGCTGAACAACTCAAAAAAAAAAAAAAAAAAACACTTTACAGTAACTTCCTGATCCAGGCCATTTGAGCGTGTTTCATTGCTTCTTATTTAGCAGCCAGAGGATTTTTGCGTGCTCAGCATTTTCATCTCCACTCCACACAAACGTGCTGAACCCTAGACTCCGGGATTAAACTTGTGGCTTTCATTTTTCCCAGCACTTCTGCAAAACGGCTTGAATTTAGGATTTCTCCAAACCTACGATTTACTTCTGTGCGTCCACGTCCCTCACTCGACGCAGATAGCTCGCGGAGTTGAGATTTTATTTTAGGATACCTGCAATTTCTGTCGTGAAAAATGATTTAGGATTCTGATATGGTGGACGAGTGGCCTTCACTTTGCGGGACACCAGAAACCAGTTGAGAAGTGCAAAGATGAAGAAAATGGAATCCATATGTTAGAACTTAGAGTACGAGACACATAATTAGGACGCTGCTCGGTGACCTGTCCTTCCACAAACACATCTACACACACATGTACCATGTTTTTCTATCCTTGTGGGGACTTTCCATTGACTTCCATTCATTTTTTGGTAATTTTATATCCTAACCTAGACCATTTACCCTAAAATTAACCTCACAGGTACCTACTGGACCCTAAAACTACACTGTCAGAAAATAGGGTACAGTAGGAGTACATTGTTGTGTATTCTAAGTACATATCTGTCCCCTGAGGTACATTCTGGACTTTTGTACCCCTATAGAGCCAATAATTGTACCTTACAGTACATATTTGTACTTTTTGAAGGCTTGAAAGGTACAATTATGTTCCCAAGTAGTTAATGGGACATATATGTACCCTGTATTGATGATTTTAGGGTACAATGTCAGAAGATGGACATTGAAGCAATAAGTCATATTAAATAAATGTAATTTGAAGGTAACATTTAAAGACTTTTGAAATGGTTGAATGACTTTGGGAAGTGTTCTTGAGTAACAAATAAATAAATACATAAATAACTAACTAATGCAAATACAAATACTGTAATACTTAGATATTAAAAACACTAAATCCACAAATCTACTTCTAACATTTAAAATACTTAAGCCTACATTTTTTTTGTTTCATATAATTTTATTTAAATAATATTTATTTTACATTGGCAAAGGATAACTTTGATTTTCTTTCTGCCATGGAAAAGTTTGCTCCTAAGGGGCGGATCTTTCTTTTCTTTTCTTTTCTTTTTCTCTTAACTTGTGTGGTGGAATCACCTGTCAAATAGGCATAGCCAACACTGATTGGCTGTCACCCCCACCCCACCACCAATTAGCCCTTGAAGCCGTGGGGACTGAGCTTTGGTCCCCACAAGGAGCATTCAGTCCTCACAAGATGACAGAGACAGGAAGAGGCGGAGCCTGACTGAGAGCCCACAAGGAGCAT